CCACTGCACTCCAGTCTGGGCGACAGAGTGAGACTCCAACTCAAAAAAAAAAAAAAAAAAAAAAAGAGAAAGGCAAGATAAATGTTTCTTTGTTTCTATTTTTTTCTAGAATGAGTTGGTGTTCTAGCAACCTTCAAAAGGTAACAATGTTACCTTTTAGAAAGTATCATTTAAATCTCTTTTTAAAATATATTCAATATGTTTCAATCCATTCCAGTCAGTATTCTTTTTGATACTCAAACTGCCCTATTTTCGGTCAGTGGGGGTCTGTTCAAGGCGGCTCTTCTATCTTGTCATGACCCTAGTAGTCTTAGATAGCTGCTTTGCTTTATGTCATAAGATGTCCTGGGTTCATCTTTCCTGCCCCAAAACAAGACTATGCCAGTTATCTAAGAAACCTATTCCCTTCTGGTAAAAAATTACACAGCACAACCTGGGTAATCATTGCTCACTGTACTGGGTTGTCATGGACTAGTACTTTTCTGTAGGCAGAGCTAAAAATTAAGGGTTTTTACTTCTGAAAGAATAGTTTGTGTGTGTGGGGGGGTTAGTATTTATTCTTTTTTTTATTTATTTTTTAAATCTTAAAGATGTGGGGTACAATTTAGGATTAGTTATACAAATGTTCATTGTACAGGTCATTTTTTTTGTGTGTGTGTGAAAGAATAAAGTTAATTGATAGTTCCAATCTGAATCTATGATGACTGGGTTTTTTAAACTTTTTATTGGTGTCCCTTTTCTTCCATGTTTCAAATATTAGTTCCTAATTATATTAGCATTATTATATACTTAATTTATCCTACAGTGTACCTATGACAGTCTCAAAAAAGCAATACCAATATTATTACTATCAATAATAACAAAAATTACTGAATACTGTTAAGATATATCCCTCTAGGGATGTCAAAAAGCTGTGTTTTATAGTCAAACAATTCTTTGGGTGGTTGTCATCAATTTAATATATAAGTATATTCATTTATTTTAGTTTTTTTCCAACTTTTTTAGGGGAAGTCTGTGTTGCTTTTTTAAAAAATTCATTTTGTTCTATAATTTCTTATATATGCTTAATGGTTCCAAAATGAAATACAACATAAGATACATTCAGAGAAGTCTAGCTTCCCTCCTATCCCTCTGTCCTGTTCCCTCCCCTCAAAGGAAACAATTTTTATCAGTTCTTTTTAAAAATATAAGCAAACACACACACACATATTCTTGCACAAAAAGTACTCTACTCTAAACATGATCTGCAAGTGGCTTTGTTTCACTTAAATATATCCTAGAGACAATTCTGAAACAGCATAGTGATCCTCTTCATACCATTTTGTAGAGGCATCTGTTATGTGGTTGTTCCATGGTTTGTTGTCAGTCCCCTACAGGTGGATACTTGAAAATCCTTTGTATTACCAAGTATGTCTATTAGAACAAGAATCCCTTCTTATCTAATTCCAGCCCCCTCCTATCTGGAAGGAGAAAACCTCCTCTCTTCTTCAGTGAAAAATGGCTATAGGTGGTTGATTTGTCTCTAGTGGCTTACCCGGATATCAGCTTCCCCTGCACTGGCAAGATCTTGACACTGTAAGTTGTAGCCTCCTTCCCAAGTGGAGAGAATGAGCTGCCAAAGAATCAAGAAAGAAAGAGAAAAAAAATCAACACAAGAATGTGGATGCAAACTGAATATCCCATTCATGTCTCTGATTGGCATCTATTCAAGGTTTGAGTAGAAACGTCCCAGAATTTGAGTTTGTCTCAATTCTATCCTCTAACACATATTATCAAACAATTTAATGCTATTGAACCGAAATCAAACAATGGTTATATTCCTTAATTAATGTATTTTACTTCTATTTACATCAATCAAAATAACAGCATCTAGCTATCATTTGAATCACACAATTTTATGTGAGGAATTATTTAGTCATGTTTCTACAAATAAAATGTAGAATTAACAATGTAAACAAATGTGAGGAAACTACATTATAAATTTAATATTTTATACTGGTTTATATATGAATATTTAATCATCTCAATACTGTTATAAAATACATATATGTTGTCATTTTGCAGATGTGAAAAACAGTGTTGGGTCAGGTTTTTAAACCATTTTCTTCATTTTATTTATGTTACTTGGTAATCAATTTGTGTGATTAATTGATCAATATCTATCTTCCCCATTAATCTCCAAAACCCAAAAGTTCCATAAAATCCATGCATCTTTGTATCTATAGTTCCTTGCCCAATGCCTGGCACACAGTAAGTGCTCAGTACATATCTGATGAATAAATGATTTGCTCAGGATTATACAGCTAGAAAATGGCAGAATGACAATTAAAATTCAGACTTCCTAACTCATTGTTTAGTGTTCTTTCTACAATATGAGAAAAAGAGCGTTTGTATTCTTTATTGAAAATTCTACAAGAGATGTTTTCTCCCTGTAAAAATTAAAACTCTAGAATATAAGGCATTTAGAATTGATTTACATAAGGTATTATGTCAAAAGGCCTACTATGTTCTGTTGTCTTAGATGTGTGTAAAGATATAGCTCTGTTAAAATACATATGCAGAGCAGAGAGGGATTGGATGTCAACAAATTGAACATTAAAGAGAGACAGACTACCTAAATAACACTTGGGATGTTTTAGAGCCTTTGTGAGACTTTTCTTCACTGTTCTGATATACCTCTCTTTGCTTCTAACTAAAACAACTTTCAGTTAACTTCATGATATTTAAAGATTATCAGTATAAATTAATTCAGTGAAAGAAAAACTTGGATTTTCCTGATGGGCTCATAACAAATCAGATCACTTCCCAGTAGCCCCCAGGGGCTTTATGCTCTTGATTCTTAGCTGGGAACCAGTGACAGGTAAGAAGATCCAGCAATACCTTAAAGTAAATGTACATTTTTGTGTGTTGGTTCATTTTTCACTCCAAAATATAATTTAACTTTTACACAAGGATTAATTAAAATCTTCTATGATCAGGCTGTAGTTCTGTAGTAAGGAGCTCTAATTTCTACCCTGTATACTAACAATACAGCCATAGAGTAACTCCTGACTGTGGAGAGGATAGTGTGTATTCTGTTTTCTCATGACATTTCCTACTTTAGTCAGATTTACCTAGGCTGTCTGTCCCCATCCCTGTGGCACCTGTGCAGAACTACCTGACAATTTAATAACCGAATAGTTAAATTACACAGCCAAGCTACAGAGGCTCTATCTGTCTCACCCCAGACCATTCCTAATCCCCCAACTGTGTTGGATGCAGGAGCCATTCAACCTATGTGTTGAAGTAAAGAAAGCAAAGCTGTCAATTAGGATTAGTATTAAGGAGATGTTGACTTACTCCGAAATATACCTAGAATTCATCAGCTACTCCCCACATCTCCACCACCTTAATCCAAGCTGCTAGCACCTGTTGCCTGCAGTCTTCCAATTATCTCCTGACTGAACTCTTTGCTTCCATTCTTGTCCCCAACTCACCCTCATAGTCCACTTTCTATGTAGCAGCCAGAGTGATCTGTTTTAAAAGGAAGATAATACCACTCCTCTCATTAAAGTCCTCCAGTACCTCTCATTACACTTACAGTACAAGCCAAATGGCCCATGTAATCGGCCATCTGTCCATCCCCTCTTGGGCCATTCTTTCTCCGACCACATGTCATCCATCTCAACTCCAATGTCATCTCCTCAGAGAGGCCTGCCCCACTACCAGCCCATCACTCTCTTTCCCACAGGGCAAAGGCTGTGGGCTAGAATCTAGAATAGAACCTGACGTAGTGTAGAAACTCAATACAAATTTGCTGTGAGACTGTTAATAATTATTGCAGTGACTTTTCCTGGCATCTGCTTGGGCATAACAAATTAGCAAAGTTAAATCAATCTGTTACTTAACTAGTGTCAATTAAACATACCCCCAAAGTGCAAAGAAAAGACTGTATATCTACTCTGAAAGAGGTTACAACTGAAGAGAGGAGACTGGGAGACTATCAATGGTAGTAATCTTACCCCAGAGATATAAAAGTATAAGAGAAAGAGTGATAAGCAGCAAATGGAATCAGCCGTAGGAATGGGCTCACTGCAGAAATGTTCTCCTTAAAAAAAGACAGAGGGACTTCCGGCAAGATGGTGATGGAGCAACCTGGTCTGTGAAACCCTCTGCAAAGGAGAACTGCAGTGGGTCTCTGGCTCTCTCCCCAGGGGCTGCGGACCCCAACATCGCAGCCTGCTCTTCATACGGAGCTTGGCTGTTGCCACCGCTGGGGCATCGCAGCGGACTGGACAGTCACTGCAGCGCAAATGGTGCCACCACCGCCGCCGCCGCCGCAGCTTCCGTGGCGGCCATAGCACATGGCACCACCCAGACCAGAGGCGATCCACTTCAGTCCTTGAAGCCCCTTCAGGGAAGATCTGCTGGGATCGCTGCCCCCTCTCCTGGGACAGAGACGTCCTACGCACCATAAGTCTCCTGCCGTCTGCCCTGAGGCAGGCAGCCATCTTCAGCCTCTGCCATTCCTGTCCGGCCCCCCCCCTGGGGCGAGCAGCTGAGA